CCTCCCTCCCTCCCTCCCTCCCTCCCTCCCTTCCTCCCTTCCTCCCTTCCTCCCTTCCTCTGAGTATTGAACCCAGAGGCCTTCTATCACTGAGGTATACCCCTGGCCCTTTTAAAAAAAATTCATTTTGAGACAGGTCTCTCTTAGTTGCTGAGGCTGGCCTGATTATAGGATTCTTGGTTGATAGTTGATAGATTTTTTTCATTTAGCATTTTGAATATTTTGGCCCTCTGCTTCTGGCCTTCATAGTTCTTAATAAAAATATAAGGAAGATCTGCCGATATTTTGTTTATTTGTACCAGGGATTGGACCCAGGATTTTGTGACTGCTCTATGAGTGTTCTACCACTGAGCTACATCCCCAGCCCATGTGCTGATATTCTTATTGAGGATCCCTGTATATGAGAAGTCTTGCTGCTTTCAAGATCTTTCTCTTTGGAAAGTTTGATTATGATTTATCTTGGCTTGAATCTCCTTATATTCATCTTACTTGGAATTTATTGATCTTCTTGATTGTTTACATTTATTTCTTTAATAAAATTGAAAATATTTTAACAGTATTACTTCTGTACTTTTCTCTGTGATCTTTGATATTTCAAATGTCTCTTAGGCTCTGTTTTTTTTTTTAATCCTTTTTCTTTCTGTTTCTTAGAAATTTCCATTCAAAGTAATTGATTGTTCCTTTTGCTTACTCAAATCTGCCTTTGAATCATCTAGTGTTGTGGGTTTTTTTTTTTGTGTGTGTGTGTGTGTGTGTGTTTTAGTTGTACTCAACGTCAGAAAGATTTTTGGTTTCTTTTGAGTTTTTAAAAAATTTCATCATTGACATTTCTATTTTATTCAAGCATTGTTTCCTGATTTCTTCATATCTTTCTTTAGTTCTTTGAGCATCTTTAAGACAGTTGTTTTTTCTTGAGTTTGGATGATCTCTTTTTAATAATCTCTATATATGTAGTTTTTTCCTGGTCTTTAATATTTGGTTCTCAAAAAAGAGAAAAAGAAAAATGAAAGGCGGGGATTGACTCTTTCAATCTCCTGGAAGTCACTTTAGCTGGAGAGGAAAGGACTTGTACCACCATTGGCTGCTGACTCTTTATATGCATCTTTGTGATCAAAAGTAATCAGCAGTGAGAGAACCAATCTCCATTAGGTAGAAGACATAGTCTTTTGTTCTTCACTCTGGATCTTCATACTGTGTGTGTTTTAGTTACCTTTTCCACTGTTTTGACTAAAAGATGTGACAAGCAATTTTAAGGAGGAAAAGTTTATTTTGAGGACTCAAGGTTTCAGAGGCATCAGTCCATAGACAGCCAGCTCCATTCCTTGGGGGCTCAAGGTGAGGCAGAACATCATGGCAGATAAGTGTGGCAGAGGGAAGTGACTCACATGATAAGGAAGCAGAGAGAGAGAGATTCTACTCATCAGATACAAAATATATACCCCAAAGGCATGCCCCCAATGACCCACCTTCTCCAGCCACACCCCACCTGCTGTCAGTGACCACTGAAGTAATCAGGGGAGTAATTCACTGATTGAGTTAAGGCTCTTATAATTGATAATTTCTCCTATAAACCTTCTTGCATTGTCTCACACATGAGCTTTGGGAGGGACACCTAATATCTAACCATAACAGTGCAGTTGTTCTAGGAATATGTAATAGAGTTGGAGGTTGGGGTGGGTAGCTCTTTCTTTCCTAATAGCTGAAATAACCAAAACTTAACTTACTGTCTAAGCCTTTCCTTGGAATTTGTAAGCTTTAGTAGAATCCAGAGTTCCAAAATCATTAGTTCAGATTATCCAGTGTAGTTGTCTAGGTATGTGGAAAGAGATTCCTGATACTTCCTATCCCACCATCTTCTCCCCCATAGTGTTCTGTGCTGTATTCCTTCAAACCCCCGTAATGGTTACAATATGAATTAAACATTAAAATACAACCTAGGTGCTTGGCATTGGATGGCTTTATATTATAGTTGACTTTTTTATGTTATGCCTTTCCATCTCTTGAGTCTTAGTTTGATAAAATTGTAGACCAACGTCTCTCAGTTTCCCATAGTCACATTTACAGAGCAGCCTCAAAGGGGATGATGATCATTTCTACTTCATAAGGTTGTGGGGAGGATTACATATTTGTGTAAATATAGCTAACATGTTTTACATGATTTTCTGTGCAGGCACTGTTTTAATTGCTTTTCAAATAATAAATAATCCATGCATAGTGTTCATATGCCAGATATGCTAATTATTTTCATTATCTATTGGATAGAAATTAATATAAATTTTGCTTCATGATAGAACACTATGCACCTTTTATTAAATGGCCTGTCATTGTGTACTAATCTAGTAGTTACCGGAAATGTGGTTATTTCAACATTAGTGACAGAATGAGTTTTTGTGTTACAGTATGGTTCTGTCAAGAATGCTCATAACCATATTTGTCTGTGTGGCTGTTCTCTAGTTATAATATGTACATGAATTCTGTTTTTCTGTTCATAACTGGTGGTTGTGGTTCTGCTTTTTCACTGCAAAAGACGCCCTGTGGATGGATGACCACCATTGTAAATTGTCATATAGGTATCACAACTGTATCATAGAACCTAAAGAAAAGATATTATTCTGTCCCTGCAATACTGTAAAGTATAGAGAGGAACAAAACCAGTAAAAGAATGTTATGAAAACCCTCTATGTATCCATTTTTTTAAAAGGATATGTTTTTACATTTGCAAGGTGGGAGGCTTTTTTTAGGCCAAATGGCTTACTTTTAAAAAGATGATGATGAGTGAGGTCTATTTATCCATTGTAGATTATTATTCCTGCAGTTCTAGCTGGACATACGTGTTAACTTATTTGCTCAAAAAAAAAAAATTGCCAGCCTTACTGATTCCAATTATGTAAGTATAAATTGAATCGGAAGAGCAAGTAATAACACTGATTCGGGCCTCTTTTTTGTGTGTGTTGATTTTATATTTTAAAAAATGTTGCAAGCTTTTATACAAAAAGTTAAGCAATATAGAAAAACACAAATAACTTGGATCCTTCCCATATAAATATGACCTTCATTCCTTATATCTCTATGCATCAAGCTAGTATATTGCCATGAAATCCGAAGCAGGAAGGAATGTATCATGGACAGAATAATCAAAATTGTCAGTTGTTGCAGGGGAGGCAGAAAGAATGTGGATGAGAACTTACATAGCTTTGTTAATTTGGACATCATTGGTTATATATTTTTAAATTGATTGATTGATTTTTGTGGTGCTGGCGATGGAATCCAGGGCCTTGTACATGCAAGGCAAGTACTCTACCAACTGAGCTATATCCCCAGCCCATCATTGGCGATTTCTGTGGTGGAAGCTCTAGAAAGGGAAGGCCATGGACAAGGAGTCAAGGTAAAGCAGGCCCATGAATATGTAAAATTAGTGAGGTCACGCTCTTAATTTTGCTGTGGTTTTAATGTTTTTTTTAAAGGTAATTTGGCAGTATAAGAATTAGGACTGAGGGACATCAAGAAACAAAGGATTCTAACTAAAGAACATCAATGTTGACACAGTAGGCCCTTGTGAGAAAACTATTGGGAGAGCCAGCTGTATACTTTTTATTACTGTGGAAGTCACAAATAAAAATGGGTTCTAGGGCTAGGGGTGTAGCTCAGTGGTAGAACACTTGCCTAGCACCAGTGAGGTCCTGGGTTCTATCCTCAGCACCACATAAAAACAACTAAATAAAATAAAGACTAATTAAGAAAAAATAACAAATAACTCTGGGTTTTAAACAACTGGCCTAATGTGAACTTTTGTTTGTTTATTTACGTATTTAGCAGTGCTGGAAATCAAACCCCAGGCTTTGTGCATGCTAGGCAAGTACTCTACCACTGAGCCCCAGCCCCAGCTCTCTAATTTGTTTTTATTTTGTAGGAAGGAAAGTATGTCTGTATTGAAAAATCTGGACCGTAGTTGTTAATTAAATTTCATTGAGTCTTCAGAAGTTTACACTGTATTGAAAATTTTTACAGGTTTTAATGCTAACACTGCAGAATGATCCTCCTTCTTTGGAAACTGGTGTTCAAGATAAAGAAATGCTGAAAAAATATGGCAAATCATTTAGAAAAATGATTTCATTGTGCCTTCAAAAGGATCCAGAAAAAAGGTAAAAAATAAAAGAAACCATACTTTTCTGTCCATTGATATGTAAACCATTGTGGGTAATCTGAGATTCATATCTAAAGGGCTAACTATAAAGTTTTAAAAAGTATACAGAGACTATTTTACAAGACAGTTTCACATTGATGGTCTTGATTTCTGTCTTCTTTTTAGTATATAGTATACCCTAAATAGTTTTAACTATTTTTTAGTGTTCTGGAGCTATAAAATTATATATTGTGAATGCTGTATTAGTAAAAAACCAGGTTAATGGGAGATGTTTGTGTTTACTTTGCACTTAAAATTTTTAAGTAAACAAATATCATTTATAATTTAATAACAAAAGGAATATACATAACAAGTTTATATTTAGTGTCAAATAATAGTACTTCTTTCCATGTTAGAAAGCTTTTAGTAACTGGACCAGAATTTTAAGTTGCTTCTTTGTCAGTTCTAGATAGATTGAATGGCAAGTGAACAAATAAGTAAAAATATTCAATGCATATATTTTTGTCTATTAAACAGCATTATAGAATGTTGGAGATCATTGAGTACAAGCTTTTCTCTGTGGTCACCCAGATGCCTAGTCATAGATGTGGGAACTTGAATTCAAAAGTCTTGAATCATAATTTAGGCCTCTGTTCTATACCTTATTTTTCTGTTTCATATATGTATATAAGTTCTGCATAGAGACAGGTTTTACATTCACAGGTTCAGCCAACCATGGATCAAAAGTATTCTAGGAAAAAAGTAAAACTGTACTGAACACATAGACTTTTTCTTATAATTATTCCATAAGCAGTATAGTATAAAAACTATTTACATAGCATTTACATTTTATTGGATATTATAAGTAATCTGGAGATGGTTTAAAGTACATGGGAGAATTGTATATAGGTTATGTGCAAATACTGTGTCATTTCTTATAAGGGACTTTAATATCTACAGATTTTTGACAGTGGTGAGGGGTTCTGGAACCAGTTCTCCTGAGATACCAAGGGACAACTGTGTATTCCACTGAGTTTCTTAGCACTTAAAGTTCTTTAATTTTGTTTTCTCTAAAGGTCGACAAAAGTAAGACTTTGACATCCTTGATCATATCTCTAGTATATATAATGGGGCTTCAGAATTTACTATTGGAATTATTGGAAAGGGTAAGAAAAATAGGCAGCAAAGTTCATACCTAAAAGTAGGAAACACTTGCTTCCCCCAAGTTAGTGAACAAAAAGAATAAATTCTCTTGTTACAGATAATTAGAAATGTCAGAAAAAAGCTATCAAACTTAAAAATCCCTGGATACCAGAAATAATGAGGTAACCATAGATTAGGGAAGAAGTATTAGCAATTAATCCAGTAGCTGCCTTCAGTGGGACTGTTCATTCTAGTAACCTGCTAGGTTTTGGATTTCTAACTCCCATGCTATGACTAGAATTGAGATCTTGGGCTCCCCACCACAGAGGGGATTTTGCACTGACATGCTGCTTAAGCTAAGATCTTCAGAAGTCTACATACTCAGTAAAACGGTAGACTAGAATAAAACTGTCCATCATATCATCATCATTAAGAGAAAACAGAGATCTTTCCCGATTAATGTCAAACCCTCAACCTTGTTCAAGATATTAAGATAATTCAATGATATAATTAAAATCATAAAAGAAATCAGAACCCACAAGAGTTTGAGCATTACGAAAATGTAAGTAGCACTATTAGAAATGAAAAAATATAGTAATTAAAATTACTTAATGGATTCCCTTGAGTGTGGGTTGGATTGTGATTTGTTTCGGATTAAAGTATGAAAAAGAAAAAATGGCAATTTTACAGAGAAGAAATCTGGTCATAACTCCATCAAGTGATAAAGGTTAATCACCACCATTAATACAATGAAATAATACTATGTAATTGATTTGATGCAATTAGAAGGGCACATCACCTATGAAGTATTCTTTCTTTGAATTTGTAATTTTAGTTAATAACTAGAAAATAATCAAACATCCAAATTGAGGAGTATACTACAAAATACCTGGCCAGTACTTTTTAAAAGTATCAAGGAAAGGAGAGACTAAGAAGATACTATCACTGATGGGGGAGATGATGGATACTGGCAACTCAGTGCAACAAGGTGTCCTGCATTAGATGCTACAGTAGAAAAATGAAAGTAATGAGGGGCTGGGATATAGCTCAGTTGGTAGACTGCTTGCCTCACATGCATAAGACCCTGGGTTTACTCCCCAGCACCACACCAAAAAAAAAAAAAAAAAAAGAAAAAGAAAAGAGAGAGAGAGAGAGAAATGAAAGTAATGGAAAAATTGGAGAATCTGAGTAAAGCCTGTAGTTTAGTTAATAGTACTGTACCAATGTGAATGTTTTAATTAATGGCTTGATAATTAGACCATGGTAATGTAAAATGCTAACATTAATGGAAGCTGATGAAAGGTAAGTGGGAACTTTGTACTACCTTTGCAACTCAAATCTATAAGTCTGATATTGTTATAAAGTGGTTTTTTAAAAAGAAGAAAACCTGGGAAGTATAAAAAAATCTAATTTCTGTTATTTAAACCAAAATAAAACTTTGTTTAGGGCATTTCTAATATATATAGCATTTCTAGGATAAAAACGAAAGAACCCTAAACGAACTGGTTAAAAATCTACCTTTTCCAGTGTTGCAAAACGTCTCACATTCAGCCTCAGGGAACAGATTACTTACTAAGGAATAGCAGGTAGACTGGAAACCACTTCCCCTTAAAGAGCCTGTAGAAAAGATAACTATTGGCTCAGCAAGTACCAGGCACTTTTATAAACATTTAGTGTATATCATCTCGTTTAATTCTCATGCCATCCATGACGATGGCACTCTTTTTTTCTTTGTTTTACCAATAAAAAAACCTGCATCATAGGTTAAGTAACCTTGCCTGAAGTCACACATCTAATAAATGGTGGAGTTAGGATTTTGACCTCTGCAATCTGACTTCAGAGTGCCTGTTTTCAATCTCATTACACTTTATTGAGGAAATTGTTCAACATGTAGCACAAAAAATGAATGGTATAAATATGAAAGAAAGATGAACATTCCAAGGGTGAGAAAATTCAGAGAGTGAGGGTGTGCTTATGCACATATGTGTTCAGGTTGAATGTCTCTTGTCTGAAATGCCTGGGACCAGAGAGTTTTTGGATTTCAGAGTGGTTTTTTTTTTTTTTTAAATTTTGTAGTATTTGCATTTTCCATAATGAGCTCTCTTAGAAATGGGATCCAAGTCTAAACACAAAATTGTTTTTATTTCTTGCATAACATATACATAGCCTGAAGATTGTTTCATGCACAAAAGGCAATATTGTTGATTTTGTGCATGAAACAGTTTCATGGCATGGAATTTTCTACTTGTGACATTATGTTAGCACTCAAATTTTGGATTTTGGAGCATTTCAGATTTTAGATTTTTGAATTAGGGATGATTAACCTATTTACATATACACATATATGAACTAGTCAGTAAAGACTAGAGAGAATGTAGGGGAAGCAATAGTCAAAGAAATAATGGCTGAACATTTTTTTATTATTAAACACTATAACTTCAGATTAAAGAACCATTTTCCCCAGGTTCCAGGCATTGTCTACCTTTTCCAGTGTTGCAAAACTTCTTATATTCAGCCTCAGAGAACACATTACCTACTGAGGAATAGCAGGTAGACTGAAAACCACTTTTCCGTAACAATAATTGAGGCCAGCATATAGTTAAATAATGCTGAGAGAAGTTAACTGTTAGCCCAGAATTCACCATCTAGTCTAACTAGTATTAAAGAGTGAGCATGAGGTGAAGATATTTTTCACAGAAACATTGTTTTCCAATCACATCCTTTCACTTAACCCTTCAAAAGCTGTACTTTTTGATCAGGGTGCAATGGTGCACACCTGCAATCCCAGATACAAAGGAGGATTATAAGTTTGGGATGACCCAGGGCAATTTAGCAACATCTTGTCTCAAGATTAAAAATAAAAAGGGCTGGGGATGCAACTCAATGGTAGAGTTCCCCTGGATTCAATCCCCAATACTGGGGAAAAAACTTTAAAAAGAAGGAAATGAACCTAGAAGAAAGAATAGTAAGGAGCCATCTTGGGCAAATTGTTGAAGCAATGAACTCTTTTTTTAAAAATATTTTTAAATATTTTAGGTGTAAATGGACACAACACAATGCCTTTATTTTCTTTTTTTATGTGGTGCTGAGGATTGAACCCCGGGTCCCGCCCGTGCTATTCGAGCACTCTACCGCTGAGCCACAGTCCCAGCCCCAAAACAATGAACTCTTGACTAATTTCACATTTAACTGCTTTCTTAAACGCCCTCTCCCATTAAATCCATGGCCTCAGTCTTTCTAGGCAAGCTCTCTACTACTGAGCTGCACTCCTTGATTGCTAGTCCTCTAGGGATTGGTTCTTAAGCTTGAATGCACATTGAAATGACCTGGACAGTTAAAAAAAAAAAAAAAAAAAACCACAAAAACAAAAAACTGCTGATACTAGGTTTTGTTCCAATACATTCTGCTTTCATTGTTCGTTAGGATTTTTAAACACCTCAGATACTCTAACACACAGCAGTGATTAAGAACTGCTGCTCAGGCTGGGGATGGTGCTTGCCTAGTGTGTGCTGAGGCCCTGTGTTTGATCTGCAGCATGCAAAAACAAAGAAACAACACCCCACCCCACCCCTTAGAGGCTTGACTAGGTAATATTGAACCTTAGATGAATTGTGATTTTTGTAGAATTACATGTTATGTGTGTGGCATAATCAGGTGTGGGTTTTTTAAGTGTAAAATTCTTTATTCTGAAATAATGTATTTTTAAAAGTTTTAAAAATTAATGATGAATTTAGTCAAAACTATAAAAATATTGCTCACAGTTGAATTAAAAATTGACTTTGGTTAAATCTGGGGAATATACTTTACTTTTGGAATTTTCCGGTCTTCCTTCCCCTTCCGTCTCCTTTCTTCACTCCTCCTCCCTCTTTCTTTCTCATATTGAGATTGAAGTCAGGATCTGGACATGCTAGGCAAGTGCTTTACTAACTACTGAGCTTCATCCCTGGCCCAAATCTTCAGATTTTTAAGGGAAATTGTGAAATCTGGTTTTCAGAATCTAGTTGCCTTAAGTTGAAACTTGTCAGGCAGCCTTGTGACAAGAAGCAGAGTTTTTCCTTTCAGTAGGAAACCAATGCCTCGAGGACTAGCAAGTCTAGGAATGTAACTCACTTTCCTCTTTGTGATCTTAAATATGTTTTTATGCTTTGCTAAAAAATTAGAGTAAATAATTTCTCTTGGGAAATAATAATATTAAATAGTAAATATGTTGGAAGTGTTCTTCCAGAAACAACATTTCACTAATGAAATTTTCAAAGAATGTCTTAATTATTATCAAAACATTTCTATTTGAGTGTTTTATTCTACTTGATGTCTTATATCCAGATTATCCTACTTTTGTTTTTTAGCAGGTTAAGGAAAGTGGAGCCTACTCAGTTTTTATTTTGCTGCTCAAAAAGTAATTTTCTCATTTTTGAAGATATAAACTCACATTGCACTTGAATATACTGCAAAAACTGTTTTGTTTTTTTTTTCCTGCTTTTAGACCAACAGCAGCAGAACTATTAAGGCACAAATTTTTCCAGAAAGCTAAGGTAGGATATTTTATCTTTTGATTTTATATGTGTTTATATGATCCTACCATATTATGTTCAGTGTTCATAAGTTGTATTTCTTAAGGTGATTCTGTGTGGAAGAATGATAGAAGATAAAATAATAATTACTGAGGGTATTATGAATACAATTTTTGGTATATAAGACACTTGCTTTGGAATTCAGTAAATATCTTTATGGTATAAATTAAATGTCAAGTTAAGCTTATCATAGCAATATTTAATAATTTTTTGCCATTATAATCTGTGAAAAACATTGAACTCTCATTTCAAGGTTTACTACTTAATTTGTGAATCATTTATTTCCCAGAGATAGTGGTATGTTATTATAGTTGGAAATTCAGGATCAACAAAGTTTGCCATATAATAAAGCAAACTTTCTATAATGGTTTATTCAACATATTGGAAGCTCTATCTCAGTTTCTAAAACCATGGCAGTAATGTACTATAGTAGTTTCATACTACTTCATAAGACATATTAATTGTGATGAACATTTCTTTGTCAATTTTATTGGTTCAACAAAAAATTTTTATAAAAAGAAAATACTTATTTTTCCCCTCCAGAATAAAGAATTTCTTCAAGAGAAAATATTGCAGAGAGCACCTACCATTTCTGAAAGAGCTAAAAAGGTAAATGGAGTATCTAATAAGTTTTCTTAGGAAATTTCTTAGAGTTGATTTATTTTTTATTTTGAAAGTAAATGTTAATTAATATTCTGTTAACTGAAGCAGGATTATTCATTTTCTCTCAACCTTTTCTAAAGCATTCTTTGGTATATTCATCCAACAAATATCATATGCTAGGGCATTACTCTGCTATCTACTGGAATACAAAGGTATGCTGGACAGTAATCTGTGAGTTAATTCTGACCCCTGTTTAATCATGCTTTCCAGCTTCTTGAGTGAGTTGTGATTTTATGTAGCATTTATAGCTGCAGTACCTGCTAACTGCAAACTTTGTTGCTTTGACTGAAAGACCAAAAGAACCTTGATACATAAGTCATTTCTGAGAACTTTGGTCATAATGTGAACATAGAAATGCATTAAGATCTCAGTTTGAGCAAATGTGAGTTTTTCCTTCCAGTAGAGAAAAACCCTTTCTTCCCTTTCCCTTCTTTTCCTCAACACAGACTTATCCAGTCTAAAGGAAATGAGGCCAGCTGGCTTCTGCTGATGTTAGACTTGAGGGAGAAGGTAAAGAAAGGTATTGTACCTCATGGAGCATGGTGGTAGGATTGTCTGGGAAGTTCGAGCAAATCTAATAAGTGACTTATTCACCTCCATAGGTTTCAGTACTTGGGAATTCTGATGTTATTTAGGAAGTTTTTATTGATAAAGAATCAGAAAAGTATATTTAACACTTTGAAATGATATTCGTAGCACTGGTAGCACAATTAACTTGTCTCTACTTCATAGAGATATATCTTCTGCAGACTTAGATACTTAAATCTTGTTATTAAGGTTCCTTCCTGCTGGGTGTGATTGCACACATCTGTAATCCCAGCAGCTCCAGAGGCTGAGGCAGGAGAATCATGAGTTCAAAGCCAGCCTCAGCAATTGAGTGAGGCCCTAAGTAATTTAGCAAGACCCTGTCTCTAACTAAAATATAAAAAGTGTTGGTGATATGGCTGAGTGGTTAAGTGCTCTTGGATTCAATTCCTGGTACCAACCAACCAACCAACAAATAGATAACCACTCAGGGTCCTTCTTTTCTTCACAAGGAGTTCTTGAGAAGTACCAGGTTACTATTTTCTAACTTTCAAACCTACATTTAAAGAGTTATACTACCTCCCTTCTGGAAAAATTTCTCCTCTTGCCTTAGGATCTTTTGACTTGCTATACTTCCCCCCCCCCCCCGCTTTTTCAATGGTTATATCCATTGTTAACATCAGAATTACCTTGAGACTTAAAAAAAAAAAAAAAGCATCATAAGTAGTGTAATGCCAAGCCAATTAAGTCATCTCTAGGAAATGGAATCTTGAAGATTGATTACTCTTCATGGATAGTTACTTGGTCAGACACTCATGGCTCATCATTCTTCCATTTCATTCGGGTCTCTACTCAAGCTTCATTTCCTCAAAATAGTTTTTTCTGATTATCTTAAAATAGTCCCCTCCTATCACTTTCTGTTCTTTTATCCTACTTTATATATATATATATATTTTAAAGGACTTAATCACCATCTGACATTTACTATCTTTCATTAGAACAAAAGCTTAGTGAGATCAAGGACTTTTGTTTGTAGCTGTATCTTCAATAGGCCTAGATCAGTTCCTGACACTCTGTAGATATCCAATAAATAATTTAATGCATATTAAAATCTTTATGCTTATAATTGTTTGCAATAAATCCCAATTGAGAGAGATGTTTAATATCTTCAGTGTAATTTATTTAGGAAGATGGACCCTCAAAAAGATAGCACAGTGAATATCTACATTTATTCCCACTCTCTACTTAATAAAAGATATGTTAAGAAAATTAAAAGAAAATTCATAAACCCCAAACTGACAAAATATGAGAGAAATGAAGGCTGCAACCAAGTTTTCAAAATTATGATGTCAATAAGCTAGTGGTAAGGGACTTGGCAAGTCAGAGGACTCCAATTGCTAAATCATCATTAAAGTTTTAGAACCTGCCTTACACAGCAATACCCCTAAACCTAGGTGCGGTAGCAATACCAGGTACCTTTAGAGTATAAGTAGGGCCAAAAGCCAGAAGATTGGTTGACAGTTCCTGTCCCTCACTCCATGCTGTACACTAGGCATTATATTGAAGTTTATTCTGCAGAAAGATAAAAGAAATGGTATTTATACTAAAGGACACCAAGCATAGTTGAAGATAGAAATAACTTATTGAAAATGGATATTTCATTGAATGTGTACATACTGTTAAAACTCTTCAGTCATATTACTTTATTCAGTTACTTCAACATAAGCATTAAAGCTTATTGTCCTTCAGACAGAATATTGGAAGATCTAATCAAGATCAATCCAACTAGCCCCAGAGGAAAAATTTAAAAGGTACAGATGTTTAGGGTTCTCCTGTGAAATGCCTACCCAGATCTTTTTGCAGCAAAACTCATAGTCAGCAAATTTTACTCCCTTAAAAGCTTAGTGCTTCAAATTGATTTTTTAGTTTCTGGATCTTAATAGTGCAATAGTGCAGGCATCTAGGATCGAAGGGTATATGAGGAAAATTTCTTAAATAAAATCATAACTCTTCAGAGGTAAGAATTTGCCTTCATAAAACAAGAACATGATACTATTAAAAAAGAAGCATTTGTGCCAAGATAATTCAATTAGTAAAGAACAGTCTTCAACAGATGGTGCTGGGACAACTGGGAGAATGAGGTTGGGTCCTTTCCTCCCACCATGCAAAAAAATTAGCTTAGATTAGATTGTAGACCTAAATGTAAGAGCTAAAGCTTTAACTCTTGAAAGAAAATACAATAGTCCTCTCTCCTGCAGTTTTATTTTCCTTAGCTTTGGTTACCTATGATAAACAGTTACCTATGAAAATATTAAATGGAAAGTTCCAGAAATAATTCATAAGTTGAAAATTCTGCACAATGAAATCTTGCTTTGTCCTGCTCTGTCCCAGGTGTGAACCATCTCTTTGTTTAGCATATCCATGCTGTGTATGCTACCAGCCCATTAGTCACTCAGTAGCCATATCAGTTATCAGATTGAACTATCGTGGTATTGCAGTTCTTGTGTTTAAGTAACCATTATTTTATTCAATAATATACCTAAAGCATAAGAATAATAATGCTGGCAATTTTATTGAGGAGTGTTGTTATAATTATTCTATATTAGTATTAGTTATTATTAATCTAGTAATACAAAATTTTATAAATTAAACTGTCATAGGTATCTTTATAGGAAAAAAACAGTATATATAGGATTAGGTACTATCTTTGGTTTCAAGAATCCACTGGGGGTATTGGATTGTATTTACTAGGGAAGGAGAGACTTGTTCATAGGAATAAATCTTTGGGACCTTCCTTGAATTAGGCAAAGCTTTCTAAGCTATGACATCAAAAATACAATAAAAGAAAATAATTGATAAGTTGACTTCATCAGAATGAAAAACTTTTGTGCTTCAGTAGATACCATCAAGAAAGTGAAAAGAAACTTACCAAGTGGGAGAAAGTATTTCTAAACCACAATGTGAAATGGGACTTGAATCAGAACTTTATAGAGAGCTCCTTCAATTCAATAATGAAAAGACAACTCAGTTGAAAAAAATGGGCAAAGGATTTGGGTAGAAACCTCTTCAAAGAAGATATACAAATGGCTGATAAACACGTTAAAAGATGCTCAGTATCATTTGCCATCAGAGAAGTGCAAATTAAAATAACAGTAATATACTTTACACCAACTAATAATGGCTATCGTTAAAAAAAAGTAACAACTGTGGGTAAAGAAGTGAAGAAACTGGGATCCTTATACATTGCTGATGGGCATGTAAAATGAGCAGCAGTTTTGATAATAGCCTCAGGGTTCCTGAAATGGCCAGAGTTATATATAACCCAGCACTTCTACTCCTAGGCATACCCAAGAGAATTGAAAACATATGTACACACAAAAATGTGCATAAGTGCTCATAGCAACATTATTTATAGTAACTGAAAAATGGACAGAAATGTCCATCAACTGATGAATGAATACATAAAATATGGTATGTCCATACAATGGGATATCATTCAGGAATAAAAATAATGAAGTACAGATGGTGTTCAATTTAGGATTTTTTTCAACTTTGTGATTGTGCTTAATAAGCACAATGGTTTTCAGTAGAAACATACCGTGATTTTGAAATTTGATCTTTTTCTGCACTAGCAATATTTGTATAGTACTCTCTTAAGATGCTGGGCACGGAGTGGTGGGGGAGGGTGGGGGAGGGTGGGGGATATGAAAGATCAGGAGTCACAATAACCTCAGTAAGCCAGAGTGTAGTAGAACAGTTCAAAATTTGGAGGGAGAAAATATTTCTAACTCAGATTCCTTTTGTCTACCAAATCGTGAATGAAATGTGGGAATACAGACAGGATATGTTTAGAAATGCCTGACTTTAATAAATGTGGAGGAAGCACTTAAACTAAAAAGAGGGCAGTTGTATGACCCAGGAAGCACAATCCTCTGCCTTATGGTAGAGCACCATCTGAATTAGCCCTGATATGAAACTAGGCTGGCTGGAGCAGATGGAGGGAGAGGAGATTTACCCAACTGAAAGAGTAGATATTAACTTCAAGGAAAACAAGATACGCAGCAAAGAGAGCTAATCGTAATTTATAGTAAGGCTCAAAAGTGATATCATGTATGTATAATAATGTGATGTAAATACCAAGTATTGATCTAACCAAGATTAGAGCGTAACTTGAAAAAAGAGTACAGAGTTGATAATACAGTGAAAATTGTCATCTTCCATAGTGGAACGTTCCATAGATAATTCCTAAAACCAAAAAAGTAGTAATGTGATTCATTATTTTAAAATAATAAGCTAAAATGAGTTGAAAGTAAACTATTTTCAAGTATAATTTTGATTTAAGAAATTGAAAAAATGAAAGAATACTCTTTATCTTGGTTTTATTTTTGAGATCCAAAACCTTTTATTTCTTAACTGTCTCAGGACATTAACACATTAGTCAGATTTGAAGAGGCATAGAAAATGTTTTTATGTTGTTTGGGCTCAGTATAGAAGGTTGTGACTAAAGACTGATAAGTGGAGATTGTGAATAGAGAGCAAGTAAGGTTTGGAGGGTATGAACTTACGAGGGAATACTTACTCATAAGGAAAATAATTATTCATTTAGCAGGTTGAAATGATAGAGGCGGGGTGTGGTTGTGTTTTCTGCTTAGTAAATGTTAAACAATCCACATCTGTTTCTAATGTGCAGGTTCGGAGAGTACCAGGTTCCAGTGGCCGTCTTCACAAAACAGAGGATGGAGGCTGGGAATGGAGTGATGATGAATTTGATGAAGAAAGCGAAGAAGGAAAAGCGGCAATTTCACAACTCAGGGCAAGTTTTGTATTTAACTGTATGTGGTTCTTGTTCAGCCTAACCAGCTAAAATGTAGAGTACGAGTGTTAACTGGCCGCGTTTCTTTGAAAAACTTAGCAGGTGTCTAATTCATTCTGCATGGAAAATTGGACTTGGTGCATCTGTTTGAATATGATAATATTTAGACTATTTAAACAGGACCCAAATTTAATCTGGGCATAGTGGTGCACACCTGTGATCCCAGTGACCAGAGCTAACCTCAGCAATTTAAAACAAACAAAACAACCAAAAAAAACCCAAACCCAAATTTAGAGATGAAAACTATGTTTGAGATGAAAAAATACAGTAGGTAGGATTAATGGCTAATTAGACATTGCAGAAGAGAATAGTGAACTTGAAGGCCTGCCAATTAAAAAAAAAAAAAAAAAAACTTTGTCCCTGAAGTCTGTGTCCTTCTGCCAGTGTACTGTTCTTTAGTTGGTGTCCTGGATTATCTGTCTGGGGGGTGTGTGTGTGTGTGTGTGTGTGTGTGTGTGTGTGTGTGTTAATTTTTGTTAGAAGCCTCAAAGACAAGGGCCTTCCTTTTAGTTTGTTTGTTTCATAATTCTTACTTAAAGTTAGTTAATGCCTCAAGTTGATTGTGGGGACTCATTCTCAAGAACAGAAGTTTGTGTAAAGGTAAGTGTCATACCCTTGCCTGCTGGATCTTTTTTGTGAGATGAATATTGGAATAGTGGTAATACCACTGCTTACTTTCAGGATCTACTCTACTGTGAATACTTACCACTCTGTTATCAACCTTCAATATTTGTTGAACTTGTTTATCAATTGAAGTCTTGGAGTCTAGTCCTTTTGCTGAGTTATTTGTTGACTTTGCCAATGAAAATTGGCAAAACTTAATTAAGCTCTAAGCTTGGAAAAGCTCTGTAAAAGATAAGAATTGTAAACATTAGTTGCATGTAATTGAATTTATTATTTAACAAATGTGAGGTCATGGCATCCTTTTTTCCTTATCTTTTCATATGACTCCTCTCTGGTCACATTGATGCTCTTGTGTAATGTTACATTAAAGCTTCTAATAGAACCTAGAGCTACATGAATATTGTAGTTCTTCCTCCCTGTGAAAGAGATGATGATATTATTTTCCCTCTAACAAATATTTAGAAAGATAAATTGTAGCTTTTCACTCTCTGATTATTACCTGCTATCTATCAGAAAGAGAAATTTCGTACTTCTAAATTAGTTACACTAGCATTTTCATAACCTAACACGCTAGTGTCTAAATATCATAGAAAATTATAGGCTTATCTACTGAATAAGTAAATTTATGTTCAACATTTCTTATGTTATATTTATAGATGTTTTTGAGACCATGAATTCTAAGAAAATGAATCTTTTAAAACTAAGTTGAACTATATTAAGAAGACAATATACCATGATAGAAGCTGAAAATGTAGCTGAGTGGTAGAGTTTTTAACCTAGCATGTATGAGGCCCTGGGTTCAATCCCTAGCAGGGAGGGGGAAAAAAAAGAATATACTATGATCTGATGGGGACAATGATGTTTCGATGTTAAGAAAACTTTTAATATTAACAGGTCTAAGAAGGCAAAAAGTCATATTGTTATTTTCGTAAATTTTTATTTTGTCAAAACCATTGACAAAGTTCACGTTCAAAATAAGGATTCATATAGATCTAGATTTCCACTTGTTACTTTCCTTATTCCCGGAGGACATCCCTTAATGTGTGTGTGCATATGTATGTGGGGGTCGGGTTAGTGGGGTGGATCTGCTGGTGAGGATTTTTTTAAGGTTTTGTGACTGAAAACATCTCTCATTTACCTTTATTTTTAAAAAAAAAAAAAAAAGTGGGTTTGCAGATTGTAGAATTCTTGATTGATAGCTTTTTCTTTCAGTATTTTTTCAATCAACAAATATTTATTATACCATACATCAGATCCTCTTATGCCACAGTCTGGCTGGGCACAATCAGGAGCCACTTGTCAAAAGAAACTAACTTTATTTAGCCAAACAAAACAGCTCCTCAGGAAAACCCTCAGAGCCCAACTGCCACCACCGGCTTCCCACAAGCCTCTCCCAAAACCACAAGACTCTTCACCTCCCACAATCCTCCTGCTCTTGGCCGATTGGCTGGGTCGTGTGGGCGAAGCCAAAAAAGTCCCCCAATGAACAGCTCCATAGTCTGAAAGGGCAGGGAAACAGCCCAATGAGCATCACCGCAGAGCAGCCAATCAGCTAGAAGTTGCTGGGGCTGCTGTGAGCCAATCATCAGCTGGTAGTCTGAAAGGGCGGGGAAACAGCCCAATGAGCATCACCGCAGAGGAGCCAATGAGCTAGAAGTTGCTGGGGCTGCTGTGAGCCAATCATCAGCTGGYAGTCTGAAAGGGCGGGGAAACAGCCCAATGAGCATCACCGCAGAGGAGCCAATGAGCTAGAAGTTGCTGGGCCCGCGGTGAGCCAATCATCAGCTGGCAGTCTGAAAGTTTGCTGGGGCCCCTTTGGCTGTGGCTCTCAACATCTCCCCCTCTCTGTTTAAACAACAAGCATGTGGCTTAGGGACCGTGCCTGCCTTAGGTTGTCCAATAGAACATATGGTCCTTACCGGTTATCGGATGAGCTGACCTCAAGGCGTGAGCCTCCTATCTTAGGTTGGTACCATTGCAATTGGATCTTACCCGTCACTGACTACCGGTCCAGTATACAGCCACACTTGTGGATAGGTCTTTGTACCAGTGGGGGGGTGGGGTGGGGGGGTAAGGTTCTTTGCCTCACCTCTGTTGGCCCCCAAATTTTAGCTGAATGACCATGACAAGCAGAAGGGAGGAAGATTCACCAAGCCAATTGACAGCTCGTTTTGGAAAAATTGTACCACTGATGACATCATCAGCAAAAATACCCCAACACTACCACAAGTCGCTGCACCAACAGATAGTTCACAATGCATATAAGTGATACATAGTCCAGGCAAAAGTTCTGCAAGCAGTTCTGTGATGGGTATTGCAGAAGCTGTAGATTGGTCTTATCTTTGTCTTCACCGGCACTGGGATGAAGATAGGAATTCTGGCAATAATGGCTAAAGAAAAAATTATGTAACATTCCACTAGGCACTAAAAGAAAACAATTTTCTTAACAATTTACATTGTCTTCACCGGCACTGGGATGAAGATACATCCGCTGTGAGCCAATCATCAGCTGGCAGTCTGAAAGTTTGCTGGGGCCCCTTCGGCTGTGGCTCTCAACACTTTTACAGGTTATTTATTGTTATACCATGTATCAGATACTCTTACAAGTTTTTGAGTATCAAATATAGTCTTAATTCTTGCTATCAATGTCCTCCTAGTTGACAGAGGAAGCAAGTATAGGAAGAGATAAATGTCTTTATAGAGTATTTGTTCCTTTTCTATTTAATTTTGTATTTTATGTGGCAATTTTTTTTAAGAGAGGGAGAGAGAGAGAGAATTTTAATATTTATTTTTTAGTTTTCGGCGGACACAACATCTTTGTTTTATATGTGGTGCTGAGGATCAAACCCTGGCCACACGCATGCCAGGCAACCGCGCTACCGCTTGAGCCACATCCCCAGCCCTTATGTGGCAATTTTTTAATGTTTGTTGTATTGTGTTGTGAAAATTTATAACTAAAAACTTTAAAATATATTAATATGTTGCCTCTGATCTCACTATAAACTATGTTTATAATCAAGTCTTTCTAATTTTATTGTGACTTAGAAATATGTATTTTATTGAGACATAATTATACCTCTTATGGAGTATAGTACAGTATCTGTATACAGTGTATAATGGTTAAATAAGAATACAGGCACTTCCATCTCCTCAAATATTAATCATTTTTATGTACTGGGAACTTTCTTCTAGTTATTTTAAAATACATCATTTTTATTCTGTATTCAGTATTTTAAAGATGTTTTTCCACTATTTTTTATCTTCCCTGTTTCCACTAAGAAATTTGGCTACACTCTTCTCTCTCTCTCTTTTAAATATTTATTAGTCATCGATGTGGTGCTGAGAATCGAACCTAGTGCCTCACACATGCCAGGCAAGCACTCTACCACTGAACCACAACCCCACCCCACCCCCCCTTTTTTTTTTTTTAAATAATGTATCTTTTTTTTTCCAGGCTGCTTTGAAGATTTTTTTTTTCTTTTAAATGGCTTTGAACAATTTGATTACAATATGCAACATGTATTTTTCTTCATGTTTTTTGTGCTTGGGCTTCGTTGAGTTTCTTGGATCTGTGGATTTATAAGTTTTTGTCAGGTTTGGAAATTTTTCAGCACTATATCTTCAAATAATTTTTCTTTCTTCTATTAACATGTTTTTTAAGCTGGTCAAAGTGGTATCAGAGCTCATTAATTGTCTTTTTATTTTTTAAAGATTCTTCTTTTGACTGGGGTTGTGGTTCAGTGGTAGAGTGCTTGCCTGGCACATGTGAGACCTTGGTTTCAATCCTTAGCACCACATAAAAATAAAGATGTTATATCCATCTACAACTAAAATTTTTTTTTAATTTTTATTTTAATTTTTCATAGTTTCTATGCTATCCTTCAAGTTCATGTATATTTTCTTCTGTAATTTCTAATCTGCTACTAATTTTATTCAGTCTATATTGCAGGTGTTCTAATTGTCTAGAAGTTTATTTTTTTATCTTATATCTTCCACATTTCTACCTTTTAAAGATATGTAATACATTTATAATAACTATTTTAACGGGTTTTCCTGCTAATCCTAACATCCATGTCAGTTCTGGATTGATTTTACTTGTTTTATAACTTTCTTCATATTGGTACAGGAGTGTTTTCCTACATCTTCATACCTGGTGATTTTTGACTGGCTGCCAAGCATTGTGAATTTTACCTTGTCACATGGCACTCATTTTGTATTCTGGTAGATCTTCTTGAGCTATATTCTGGATTATATAGTAAAGTAAGTTGAAAATATGTTTTTCCCTCAGTCTCAGGTTGTTTTCTCACATATATGCATTGATAAGTGTTCTGCTAAATATTCAAAAGGAATCCTCTGCAGATCTCTAGGGTTCTCTCATTATGTAGCTCTTTCTTCCCTAGTACTCTGTCTTATTATCTTATCTGTCTTGGCCTCCTTGGATTTGTAGCTCTGTTTCTTCTATTCATGCAGTTAATTGGATTCCACCTAGGTTCCCCTTCTCTGTGCCACAGCATCCAAAAAACTCTCAAGGTGGTTCCTGTGTTTCAGGGATCACACTCTTTCTTTGTTTTTCAGTATCTTGAAAACATTTATTGTTTTTCTTTGCTTTGCTCTTCTTTGTTTCCTTTCTCTCCTTTTTTTTTTTTGATTATTGTTTCAGACAGAAGGGTAAATCTAGCTCCTTGTTACCTATTGTTGACAGAGCTGGAGCCTACAATTGTATTTTAAGGGAATATGAAACTACTGAAGAGGTACAAAAACAACTAATCCAGGTAATTTAGGGACATGGTAATTGACTATCTTCTTTCAGTCGTAGAGTTGGTAGAGGAGAGGGAAAACTTCAGATAAATCATAAACTCCTTTTATTATGATTTTTTTCATATTTGTACATGCAAAGCAGTTCTGAAACTCTTTTGTATAATGGGGTTAAGCAAATGAGTAAATGGCTTAATGTTCTTGGGAGCCAAGATTCTAACTATGAAAGAAGAAGAGACGTACAAATGTGAAATGAGAAAAGATTCTGTGGAGGTGGATTTGAATTGTAGGCATTGGTGTGGATTCAGGCTTCTGAAGTGTGTGTGTGATCTGAATGTGTATGTGCACATGTATGTATGTAAGTATGTATATGCTTGAATGTATTTTCAAGCTTTGTCTATTGAAAGGCCTAGAAACAAAGATACCACAATAACAATGAGCACACCTTATGTCCAGATAATTTTCTCTGATATCATTCCCCACTAAAAGAACTGGGCTCTTAGAAAAATGAGTGGTTCCAGGACAGGGAAAATGTTAGATGAATCACGAATATCTTTTTATACCAGTTAAAAAAAAATGTCTGAGGGAATAAATGATGCAGAAATCAGCTTGAAGCAGTGTGGTACAATTTAACCATTCAAATAATTTCTTTAAAAATAGGAATCTTTGAGTCTGTACCAATTATAAATAGATACATAAACCAATGAGGAGAAAGATGTTTTTTCATTACACTGAACTGCCAAGTGCTGTCTGGTAAATGTGGAGACGAAAATTGGAGGTAGAAGAATTGTTATTTTATAGCCATTGTCATTGGATCGGGGAAGAATCATCAAATACAGAGGGAAGTTTTGAGGAGTAGGATATTTTTAAGATTACCTTTTAGTTGCTAGATAAAGAAAAAATCATAGTTGCTATCTACTGGAGAATTTAGAAAACTCTTTGGCCAGGTGATTAAATTAATCTTCACTGGTGGGGGCAGATGAAGATTTCATACCCTATGAACGACACATCACTATGCAGATTTCCAGCTGGATGTTCATGTAAGTCTAATCATGAAGAGACAGTAGACAAATCCCAAGTAAATAATATTCTGTTAAAGTAGTGGTATGGTAGTGCGTACTATATTCTTTTAAAATGTTAATATTCCAGATTTTAAAAATCTAAAGAAACGGTGACAATGTAATTAATACATGATCCTAGACTTCATCCTAAACTGGAAGAAAATCACAAGATTATAAGGAGCATAAGGGTCTGCTGGCATTTGGATTGTGGATAGTAAATTAGATAAAAGTATGGTATCTTTGTTAAATTTACTGAAGTTAAAAAACTGTACTGTGAAACTTTTTAAGAAAATGTCTCTGTTCTTAGGAAACACACATAAGTGGTAAACCATGGTATATGCAGCTTATTCTCACATGGTACAGGAAAAGTGATTTAAATATCTATTATGCACCCAAACTTTACATGATGAAAAAAAAAAGCATCTTTTGTATTGTTATTATTGTAGCATCTTTTCTGTAAAAGAAAGAGAAATAAAACTTGGAATTATTTCCTAATACAGAATCCCCTGCCCCAGTAGTATTGAGGATTGAACCCAGGGCTTGGCTCACGTTAAGCAAGCACTCTATCACTAGGGTATACCCTGTTCCCTGCTGTCCCCAGAACCCTCAAATAGAGAAGTGTTTTAAAAAGGGTTTTGGTCGGCCCCTTACTTGCTGTGATAACTTTAGCTATTATCTGAACCTTGATTTTACTTAATACAATGGTGATGAAAATTATAAAACCTAAATTGGCCTTTCAAGTAGCCTGGCTAAATCCATAGTTGGTAGGATTTGCCATACATTAATATTTGTGCAGAGGTAAGTTCTTTTTGAAATGACAATGTCTGGATCCCAGAATCAGACAACCCACATTTATTTATGTACCAGATCTCTAAATATCTAGCAATAAGAGTAAGGGGTAGTAGGAGGCATCCCCTCCTCCTTACTTTCTCTCTCTCTCTCCCTGCCCCCTCCCCTTCTCTTTTTTAATAATACTGGTGATGGAACCCAGAGCAGCTCTCCCAAGTTCGTTCTTTCTCTCTCTCTCTCTCTCTCTCTCTCTCTCTCCCTCCCTCTCCCTCCCTCCCTCTCTCTCTCTCTCTCTCTCTCTCTCTTTTTTTGGAGACAGGTCCTCGTTAAATTGCCTAGGCTGGCCCCAAACTTGCTATCCTTCTGCCTCAACCTCCTGAATTGCTGGGATTACAGGGATGTGCCACCATGACCAACCTCTCCTTACTTTTTAAAAATTATTATTGTAATTGACAAAATTATGGGATGCAGGATGATAATTAGATCTATGTCTTTCGAGTATAATGATCAAATCATTAACATTTCATTTCCTTAAGCATTTCTTTTTCAAATTTTTGATTAACACATACTACTTGTATATATTTATAGGGTGCAGTACAGTATTTCAATACATGTGTATTACATATATTGATTAAATCAGAATGGTTAATGTTTCTGTCTCCTCATCGGTACTTTGTGTTTCGAGCTTTCAAGCTCTTCTAGTATTATTGCTTATTGTGAACCTTAGCCACTCTACTGTTTTGTATAACACTAGACTTCTCTTTACTTGTGTTTGGGTAACTTGATCCAGTATCCCTCTATCTGCTGCCTCCATACTACCACAACTTTCCTAATTTCTAGTCATTACTATTATATATATCCCAGTCGAATTTTTTTGTAGGTAGTAGATTCTTGAAAAGTAACTTTCAGGTCATTGTTCTGTAATTTTGTTTCAAGAATTTTCTCCATAGAGTCCTCAATCACTTGTCTCAAATCTGTGCTTTGAGAGTGTGTTGGATAGCTGGCCTGAGGTTTATTTGGTCTAGAATTTTAGGCACACAGTATTTTCATATTACTTTGAATGTGACCTCCCCACTGCCTGAGAACTAATGACAGTCCCCATCATCTCTTCAATTATATAGCTGAAACTGTAAAAAATTTTAAATACAGTAAGTATATTGATACATTTATTATAGGCTAATTAGACAAAGAATACAATTGTATCATAGCAGTTTTCTTTTTTCAGAAGACTCACTGTAGTAACTTATAAGTTAATTTATGAATCAGAATGAAGTAAAATTGACTTGCATTCAACATTACTTGAAGTTACCTGGAACTGACTATAAGTAAACTAAGTCTGAGTTAACAAGCATCCTTTTCTGTATTTCTTCTAGTCTCCTCGAGTGAAAGAATCATTAACAAATTCTGAGGTAAGTAATTGCAATTATTAAATCCTTGTTGTTTTATATATGCTTCTGTTTTGTTTTTAAAAGTCTTTATATGTGTGCCTAAATGGGAATGAGCCTTTATACAAGTTACATTTTAAAAGTTGGTTTAAGAGCCTGGAATGTTGGTCCTTGCTTGCTTAACTTCATGATTTGCTTTTTTGGTTTGCGCTGCTTGAAGTGGGAAGCAATCTTTATGCATTACTCTGCCCAGGAATTTGTTATACATTTTTGAAAGTTTTTTCAGTTTTTTCTCTTGTTGGGTAAATTGTATTTTCTGTAGTTTGTTTCAGTGTAATAGGAAATGTTACTAAACAGAATCCAGTTAGGTTGGCTTTCCTTCTTTTCACTACCTGAGAAAAATAATTTCATGGATCCATTCTGTACATATTCTTCCTCTGGCAGCATCTCCCATTCTGAGCTCAGTATTTGGTTTAAAGGCAAGTGTATCTCTTAAACAATTTTCCCACTTCATTTGTGTACATACCACGCAATTTGTATGTACAATTATATACATGATTCATGTACATAGAACTTTATAATTTAGAAATGAGCCAGTGCAGTGGCACATACCTTTACTCCCAGCTACTTGGGAGGCTGAGGCAGAAGCATAACCAGTTAAAAGCCAGCCTCTTTGAGTGCCGGGAATGTAGCTCAGTGGTAAAGCACCCTGGATTCAAGCCCTAGTACAAAGAAAATAAATTCTCTACCTTAATATATGTATTTTTGTTATACTTCAGTTTTTTATTAGAGCATTATAGTTGGGCTCATCTTGACAAATTTGTACATGCATGATCTTCCTACTGATCTTCTTTTGCTCATCTATTTTTGATTGGTTCTTTGTACTTATACATAAAAGTGAAATTCCCTGTGGTATATATGTATATGCACATAGTTCAATTTAAAAAAAAAAAACATTCTGCATTTTCTCTCCTTTCCCATCCCTCCTCTCTGCCACTTGATCTTGTTCTTCTGCTCTTCCTGTGACTTTATGAAATCTTCCCTGTGACTTTATGAAATCCTGTCCTCTCCTCCTTCTTTCCATTATTTTGCTCTAGCTTGCACATGGGAGAGAAAACATTTGACCCTGATTTTCTGAGACTGTCTTATTTGACTTAGCATAATGTTCTCCATTTCCATCCAGTTATCAACAAATGCCATAATTTCATTCTTTTTGTGACTCAGTAAAACTACATTGTGTGTGTGTGTGTGTGTGTGTGTGTGTGTGTGTATGCGTATACACCACATTTCCTCCCTTCGTCTATTGATAGGCATCTGGGTTAATTACATAATTTGGCTATTGTGAATTGTGCTGCTATATTGCTATTGCATGCTGATTTTAGTTCTTTTGGACAAATATCAAGGAATTTGATAGCTGGGTCATTATGGTGGTTTCATTCCTGGTTTTTTGAGGAATCTCCATACTGCTTTCTACAGTGCAGTAGTATGCAGTTCCATCAGCAGTGTACAAGTCTGTACCTCAGGTACATTAGTAGAATTGTATGTCCTTGACCCTTGAAATTATGCATGGTCATGTCAGTTCTTTTGACCAATGTAAAGTTAGCAGAAGAGTCACTCTGTGATTCTGTGTTTCCTTAATCTTGCTGCCATAATCTGCATCCTTGACTGAATGAAGGGATGAACTCATGCTGGTCAGAGATATACTTGAAGTATGTGTAAGAAATAATAAAAAGTAAAGTTAAAAATAACGTTGTTTTAATCTGCTGATGTTTTAGAATTATTTGTTACTTCTAATTAAGCCAAACTTGATAATTTCTCAGAAATTGAATGAAAAGGTATTTTATAGATTATTATAGTTTTTCTTTTTAGTGTTCTTCTTGTGCTTTTGCTAAATAACTTCTCCATGTGAATTCTCACTCATATTCTTATACTCATTACATTGTTTTTTAACTTAATTATGACAAAATTTATATGACATAAAGTTTACTGTCTTAATCATTTTTAGTTTGGTAGCATTAAATATAGTCATGCTGGAATACAACCATCACTACCATCTAAAGAACTTTTTAATCTTCCCAAACTAAAATTCTACCCATTGAATAGTAATTCTCCATTTTCTTCCATATTTGTCCTGGCAGCCACCCTTCTACTTCCCGTCTCTGTAAATTTAACTACTCTGGTATTTCATATAAGTGGATTCATATAGTATTTGTCTTTTTCTGACTGGTTTATTTCACTTAGCACAGTGTCCTCTGGGTTCATCCATGTTGTAACATATGTCAGAATGTCTTTCCATATTAAGGCCAAATATTACTGCATTGTATGTATATACTGTTTTGTGTATTCATCTTTTAGTGAACACTTGAACCTCTCTGTCTTTTGGCTGTTGTGCATAATGGTGCTATGAACATGGGTATGCAAATATCTGTTCAAAACTTTGCTTTTAATTCTTTTGGGTATATATCTAGAAATAGAATTGCTGGATCATGAGGTAATTCTATGTTTTAATTTTTTAAGGAACAACCATACTATTTTTCATTAGAACTTCCACCATTTCACATTTCCACTAACAGTGCACTGGGATCCCAGTTTCTGTATATCTTCTTATTGCTTTGTTATATGTATCCTTTTTGTCTTTATTATAGATAAACATACATGTACATACACTTTGGAAGCTAACCTTTTGAAATAGTACATTTTTAAAAGTAATCTTTTTAACTATAATTATCAACATATTGATTTTACAAATTAATGTTCTTCACTGTAATTTTTACATACATGCATAATTGTGCTTTGATCATACCTAACTTCCCTTCTGTCATCCTTGCCTTTCTTTCCACTCTACCTCCCTTGCACCTCTACTTCCCCTTCCCTTCCCTGAAAATCCCCCTTCTACTTTGAGGCCAACTAATATTAATGTGCTATATTTCTGTCAAACTCTGAAACCAATGAAGAACTTTTTGCTTCCTCTTATGTATGAAATTAAATGATATAAAATTTTACTTCTGATCTCATTTATTTTACTTTTATCAGCTACTAGACCTCTGTTGTTGCCTTTTGAAAGTTTTTACTCTTTCATTTCTAAATTTTGGTCATTGCCATTGGTATTTTCCCCTAACTTGTAATTTTTAATTTTGTTTTATTCAACAACAGTTTTTCCCCAAAATTGCATAATCAAAATTTATGAAATAATTCAAAATGCAAGATAATTTATTTCGTGTCTGTTTGTTATAAAGCTTCACACCCATTTTTGAAATATATTTTTAGATATGTTAAGGAATCATTGGTTGATTATCTTTCTTTATATGTAATAAAAGTCCCCAGGTCATAACACATTTTATTTTGCTGTATCAAAATACCTAAAGCTGGATAATTTGTAAAGAAAAAAGATTTAATTAGCTCATAATTTCAGAAGCTAAAAGTTAAAGATGATGTGGCCCCCTTTGGTGGGCCTCTGGTGAGGTCCTTCTGGCTGTATTGTAGCATGGCAGATGGCATCAATGGTAGAAACATGGAATATATATGAGAGATCACATAGCAAGAGACCTGGAGGGGTCAGGCTGTCTCTTTTATAACAGCCCACTCTGAACAAAGCTAACCCACTCCAACAAGACCAGCATCAATCCCTTCACAAGGGCAGACATGATTCAGTTACCTCCCACTAGGCCCCTCCTCCTTATGGTTCTACCCCTTTTCATACCACTGTATTGGGGAATTCAGGGAATTCAGTTAAATCGAAGCACCATGTGTAAAAAAATGTAGCTTCAATAATTTCTTACAGAAACACTATACATACTTTATATATAAATACTTTACCTACTTAACTTTTTATTTTGGAGAAGCTGTTTTGCTGTGTGAAGGGGATGAAGTAAATGTGGTTAAAAATAAATATGATAGAGGCTGGGATTGTAGCTCAGCAGTGGAGTGCTCGCCTAGCACGTTCGAGGCCCTGGATTTGATCATCAGCACCAAATAAAAATAAATAAATAAAATAAAGGCATTGTGACCAACTACACCTAGAAAATAACTTTTTACTTTATAACTATTTCAAACTATTTTGAAAAAATAAAAAAATTAGTAAGTATGATACAGAGTGAAAAAAGCTACACAAAACACTGTTTGTTAGATGCTCCATTTACACAAAATGCCCAAAAAAGGCAAATTTACAGAGACTGAAAGTAGATCAGTGGTTGTGAAGGGCTAGATGTGGAAGAATTTACTAAAAGGGTTTGTGAACCTTTTGGGGGTGATAAAGGGTTCCAAAACTGCATTTGGTGATGATTGTATAGTTCTTTAAACTGTGCAAATACCCTTGAATTATACACTTAAAATGGATGAAGCTAAAAGCACGTAAATTGTATCGAAAGTCGGTAAAAAACTAAAATGCCTAGAAATATTTGACTTCTGTTTGATGTGTATATTTAGAAGTGTTGTCAAGCCAGTACATCATAAAAACTGCTTTGAAAATGTCACCCTGTAAGGCTCTGTTTGACTGTCAGTAAACCTGCTTCTCTTTCCAATCAAGTTAACAGCACTGTATGCATGGTTTCATTATAGCTCTTTTCAACAACTGATCCCATGGGTACTTTGCTCCAAGTTCCAGAACAGATTTCTGCTCATCTACCTCAGCCAGCTGGACAGATGTCTACCCAGCCAACTCAAGTCTCTCTCCCACCACCTGCAGAGCCAGCAAAAACAGCTCAGGTAAAGCAGGGATGTCTTCTAATGGCCACCTAGTACTGGTAGATTAGAAAAGCAAATATTTATGTGAAATAGCCTAATGTGCTCAGGTTGTTGTCCTAGTAGATTTTGGAAGAAGTTAGAAATTATGTCTTCATAGTTCTGAATATTCACCCGAAGGTAAGAGAGTTCATAAGGATCTTAAACAACAGTATGTTAAGTTTGAAAACTTTTGAAACATCAGAATTCTTTGGCTAATTTCTTATTGGCTGTGTGTTAGATCATTATTAACTTAAGATTGCAAATGATGGCATTCATGGTGGGGCTAGGAGAATCATCTGCTTTACTGTTTTCTTTTGCTCATTTTTGTTTTGTATCATTTATTAGTATTTTTATAGCCCGTGGTTTTTCTAAATTACTCTTTTTAAAATACTAATTTTGTGAGAGTTGATTTTATTAAAACTAAGTGATGTATAAACTCAAATAAAGTACACACAAACTTCATTAAATTGTATTTATCTGAAAGCAGCTGAATGAGGTCCTCCCTGTGAATCCCAGTATGCTGTGTAACTCCCATGCTCCCTTCAGGAAACTTCTGATAGTACATATGTGACCTTATGCTATATTGCTAAAGTAAGGGTTTTGTGTCGATTTATTAATTGTTAGAAGTTGTCCCCCACCCCGAGTAGTTTAGGTGAAAAAGAAATGAAAGTTGTGATTTCTCCTTTTGTAGCGCCATGTATCATGTGTTCTGGCTTTGAAGACCAGTGCACTGGGCATGTCTAGTTAATCATGGAGATAACTTCTTTTAACCTTTCATCCTTCCAGCTTTCCATTTCTGCCATCATAGGGGTAAAAAAGTTCTAATGATTAGAATTATTTTACAAGTAACTTAGAGTTTATGTCTGCCATTAAACAGGAGATAGCTAAACAGTTTTCAGAGAGATTAGTTTAACTATAGAAAGATCTGGAACGCTTCGGTTGAATGATCCCTGAGGGGCAGTTGATTTAGGCCCTACTTGTGTGTTGCCAAATGGTACAGGTGCAGATTTTTTAAAAAATGATAAACCTCATTTTTCACTTTTGTATAGGGGAACAGGGGCAAGAAAAATATAAAATATATGTAATTTCATCTGGGTTTGAAAATTATTTAATTATGTTTGATACAGGTTGATATTTAGCTTTTGTTGCTGCTGTGGAGTGCCTGTCCTGCCACAGCAGGGAATGAATGTCTTAGGGAGCAGAATGACCTCAGCTGGAGAGGAAGAGAATTGCTGCCAGTGGATGATTCCTCTGCAGTTACCTCCATGCTTAACATTCACAGGCAATGACTTTATACTTTTCAATGCATTTTAGGCTTTGTCTTCAGGAGCAGGTTCACAAGAAACCAAGGTCCCAATCAGTCTAGTACTAAGATTAAGGTAAGAGGACATTTTCTGTTTTGTGAGTTCCCTGTAGGTGTTGAATAATCTGTGCTGAGAATAGCTAAAGCCATGATTGTGTCCCCCCAGCATCAGTAGGTGTTAATTTGCTGGTGTATTATTTTCTTAGAAGTAACAGCAAAGTGTGAGGACCTGGCAGTTAGCAGTTGCTGTGACTAACTGATGCACATACCCTCCTAGTTTGTCCATTAATAGTGACGAATGTGTACATTTGCAGCATAGTTTGAATTAGAAAGTATAGTCTGTAGTTGATAATGTTTTAGGGGAGGAGCACTCACTGGCTTATCTGAAGTTTAGTGATTATATAAGCATTATGGACTCTGGGATTGACTAACTCAGAAGGGGAGTGCTTTGTGATTGGTAGATCAAATAAAGATGAAAAGGAAAACCTCTAAGTATATTCCTAGTTTGTTTCTCTGTTATATGGCAAATGTTGGTAGTTCTGGTGGGGATGTATAGATTGGTCCTAGCAGGCTGCTCAGCAGTAAGTGCCCTGGGTAGCAATCTGTTCATTTTAAACACCCCTCAACCCCTAACCCCTCAACTTCTGCCAGGGGATTAAGAACTCTGGATTAGGATTCCAAAGTTTTCATGTCAAAATAGCTATTACTGTTATATTGTTCCAGTTAGGTCTCTTTCTACTCATAAATGTATTTGAAAAAATTAGTATTGAAAAAATGTCATGTGAGACATCCCAAACCCTCTTTAACTATTAATAACATTTTAAAAAAGAGTCCCACTGATTACTATTAACTAACCCCACTTCTGCTTCTGAATTCTTAGTTGTCTTCCCAATAGGATCATAATAGAGATAGAAGCAGATAGAATTCGTTAGAGAACTTTCAACGACTAATGTTCCAGACTGTTTTTGGAAGTTAAATATCATGTTGTTTGTGCTTACCGTACCAGTTAAATCAGTAAACTGGTGCTGAACATTTCTATCTTAATTTATTCAGCTGCCAGAAAGAATAGACTAAGGAATTATGTATTAAGAACAGACTATGTTGGGCCCTGTTGGCACACACCCGCAATCCCAGCAGCTTGGGAGGCTGCAGCAAGAATATCTCCGAGAGCCTCACATTTGGTGAAGGCCTTGGTGCTATTTCATCCCATGGTGGAAGAACAAGATACCAAGTGGCAGCCAAACTCACTTTTATGACAGATTCACTCATGATAATGAACCCACTCCTGCTTTAACAACATTGATCAATCTTATGAGGGCAGTGATTCAGGAGGCAGAGGCAAGAGGATCACAAGTTCAAGGCCAGTCTTATCAACTTATCGAGGCCCTAAGCAACTTAGTGAGACCATGTCTTAAAACCCCAATACCAAGAACAGAAAAAGAAAAAGGGAAAAAAACAAAACAAAACTCAGTGCATTGGTAATTAAGTTTTCAGCATGTGAACTTTGTGGGACTTATTCAAACCATAACATCATCTTAGAAGAAATACGGTAGGAGTGGACATATAAGAATCTCCCCCAAAGTATGAGATTTTTATGTTCTTCAATGGGAGACATAAATTCAAAGGCTTAGGACAATTAGAGTATAAATCTGAATTGTTGGCTCTGAGCCCTGAAGTGTCAGCACACCAGGACAAATCATATAACTTGTGGGAACAGACTAATCTTTCCAAGGCACAGCTTTCCTGATATATATTGGCAGACTCTTATGCATAAACTCACAAATTCTTATTTTATTTAATTCTGGTTTTTTCCCCACAGGAATTCCAAAAAAGAACTAAATGATATTCGATTTGAATTTACTCCTGGGAGAGGTGAGGCAACAAAACCATTAAAAACAGATTAACTTCTAATGTGTTGTTTAATCAAGTGTGAAATTTCTGTCTTTTAGATATATTTTGCTTTTTTAAGATGATAAAAATTTCTTGGTTTTGGGGGTCAAATGAATAGAATGAAATAAAATGTAGTTTACTTACTACTAAACTCATTTAGAAAATCTAATGTAATAATACAAACAGTAAATGACTGTAGCTCTTATTTACTGCTTACAATGGATCAAGTATTTTGCTATACATTACATTAGCTCATTAAATTCTTTTTTTTTTTTTTAAAGAGAGAGTGAGAGAGAGGGGGACAGAGAGAGAGAGAGAGAATTTTAATATTCATTTATTTTTTCTTAGTTCTCGGCGGACACAACATCTTCGTTTGTATGTGGTGCTGAGGATCGAACCCGGGCCGCACGCACGCTAGGCGAGCGCGCTACCTCTTGAGCCACATCCCCAGCCCAGCTCATTAAATTCTTATAACAGCMTTCTAATGAAAAATTATTATCCCCATTTACTAGATGATGATGTCAAGGATTAGAGAGAGGCAGGGTAACTTGTTCAAGGTCACACAGCTGCAGAGAGGTAGCTAAAGTTCAAACAAGATCTGAGTTCATAGTTCATGTTCTTATCTCTCTGTACATGCTCATTCTTTATGGTAGTAAAGAAGAAGTCACCTCCATTTTCCCTTCTCCTCAGGCAGAACTGAACCTTGGCATGTACTGTTTCTGATTGTGAACTTCACTCTAGAGCAAGGGTTGGTTGGTTTTGTTTTGTTTTGTTTTGCTTTGCTGTTGTTATTCAGTGTTCTGATTTGAGGAGTGGCCAGAAGCTAGCAGTTACCTTTCCTTACATCCCATAGTTGCTGTCTCAGTATTAACATCTGGCCATTAAAGAGAACAGATGTAAATGTACTAAGGTGTATCTGTTTGACTTTTTTAGAGCAATGCAAAACTCACATTTTCAGGAATTAATTGAAACTTCTGGTCATCATGTGAAAGTATATGTACCCCTTCCCATTGGCTCTCCCTACTCCCACTCAGGGCTTAGTGTCCAGCCCTCAGGAACCAGCACCACTGAGTCAGTTGAAAATGAAATAAATTGGGGTAGTCTATCTTCTTCTTTTTTACTTTTTCTTTATACCCATGGCTCAGATTATACCACCTGGATGACTAGGTAAGGAGAAAATCCACAAGATAAATAAGAAAATGATTTTAACAAAAACTTAAAACATAATACCAAAAGAGAAGAGATTATAATTTGTTCTCTCAGGTTTTGAGAAAGTTTTACTAGCACTTGAGATGTTCCACATTCAACATCATATCTCAGAGCCTGGGTCTAGGATTGTGCTCTGTAGAGTCACTGTTGAAGGTTCTTTTGGCATGGGCCTTAACCCTCTACATTCCACCATTTTAAAAGTTATCTGTACAATGAGCTGATACTTGACACCTGGTTCATACCAATTCTGCCTTCTAGCCAGACCTAAGAGAATTTCTCAGTTGAGAGCATTGCCAGTGGAACAGGACCCTGGTTTTGTGGACTTAGTAGCTCATTTGGGTCCAAGCAATGCTGTCACACATGCTGGCTTTGAGTGTTAGCAATGATGTATGTGCACAAGAAATGGAATGCCTTCTTGTTTGTCCTTTCAGATACAGCAGAGGGTGTCTCTCAGGAACTCATTTCTGCTGGCCTGGTCGACGGAAGGGATTTAGTAATAGGTAACTATACTGTGCTGTGCCTTGTGCCCTATGTCTCTGTCTATATATTTAGTGCCTAGAAAATCAGGGTTGTGTTCCACTGAATAGGTCTGATGATTCTTTTGGTCTGATGATTCTTGAAATGATTCTTGCCTTGGCTGAAACTACAGGTACTGAGGACATTTCCCTTACCAAGCAGAAATATCCCACTTTCAAGTTTGCTTTGTGACTTCCAGTGGTAGTAGATGAAAACACACCCAGGTCTCTGGGATACTTTGGTAAAAGTGGTAGTTAAAGTCACAAAACAGGAGCTTGGTCATTTTTCATCTGTTTTGGTGTATCTAGTCTGTGGAGCACAGAGGTGAGCAAATATTAGCGATTTAGAAAAGCAAGAAGGAAGGGAAAAGGCACAAGCACAAGCTATAGGTACATTACTGATGGGAAAGACCATCAGGTTGAGAAGGTGAATAGTTTCCCTTCAAAAAGCCAGACAATGGATCATTTAAGCTTTGTGGGCCACATGTCATCTGTCATTTTAAATCATTCTTAGTTTGCAGGCAGAACCAAACCAGACCATAGGTCATACTTTGTTGACTTCCATTCTGGGAATTTCTGGTCCATTAATGGACAAAACATACCTGTCCTTCCCAGGCTAGTTGATAAATTTTAAATGAAGTTAATTTGCCAGTGATTCAAGATTCATTGTGTAGTTTGGGGTTGAATTTGAAAGATGCTTTCATTTGAGGAATGATTGATCTTTCTGCTTCCATTTTGATTGTACAAAGCTTAACCACCATTTAACCTTTTTGATAGTGGATTTATGTAACTTCTTATTGCTTTTCTCTGTTTGTATGATTACAGTGGCAGCTAATTTGCAGAAAATTGTGGAAGAACCTCAGTCAAATCGATCTGTCACTTTCAAGCTGGTATTCATCCCTTTCTCTTTATTAAGCCATCTTACCATTTACACATCAACAGCCTCTGCAGACCAGATTTTTATATTCCCCGAATAATGAGAATATTAAAATATGGCAGTGTTCTCTCTTTAACTGTCTCTCCCCCACGTCATCCCACCCAAGTTTTTTTTCTGCTTTCCAGAACTCTCTAACCCCATGCCCTTAACTGTTCTCAAGTGAAATTATAAGCCAGTCTGACTTCAGCTGTGTGTCCTGTCTTCAGGAAAAAAACACCTACATCAACCTCCCATTTGTGTCCCAGGGACTCTTTACCCACTGCCTGCCTTCCCATAGTCCCATGTCAATTTTAATTGCTACTGCAATTTTGTTTATAAATAGCAACAGCTTGTCATTTTGTTTGATCCTCAGGCATCTGGTGTTGAAGGCTCGGATATTCCTGATGATGGCAAACTAATAGGATTTGCCCAGCTCAGCATCAGCTAAAACACAGCCCCAGAAGAGGCGGCCTAAGGAGATTCCACACATGCGTATCTCTGTTGCTTCTGTTGGCCTAAACCCACTACTGCCAAAGAACCCAGCAACGAACCTCCCGGCTAGGAGCTTTAGAATTCTTTCTTTATGTTCTTCTTGCCATCATTCCCCTTTTTCCCACAGGGAAAGTAAAGTTGGATCACCAGTGGCCAGCATCCCCTCAAAGAGTTCCGTTAGTAAATGTGCTGCACATGTCCCCTTTCTTCCGCCATCTGAGAAGTGGCCCGTGTGCCTCAAGGCTCAGGAGGGAGATCGCTCAGCTCATTCTTGCCTTACTCCAGTAATGGCCCAGGTGGAAAGTAGCAGCTACATTGGGCAACCTCGTCCTGCCTGTTCTCCCACACCTGCCCAGAGGTGGGCATCTTGGGATATCTCTACCACTGAAGTAGCAATTAAAAGTTGATTAGCTGGAGCCCAGAGAATTTAATTAGTGTTTTTTTCTTTGTATCTGATGTGAATTCTAGCAACCTTTGTTAGGAAAAAGCACAGCCTCAGAGGAGGCAGCCTAAACTGTGTTCTTGTTTTGTTCATGGTGTCTCTAAGTGTTTTGCTAAAGCTGCTCTCAGGCACCCCCTTCATTGCTCCCTCCAGAAAGGGTTGCTAGCCTTAACTTCAGCTGGTGCAAAACATTTGACTGTAGTCAAACTTCAGCCATCAGATCCTTCAAAGTGGAACTTTGGACTGTTTTTGCAGAAAACATCAAGTAATAGCTTGTAAAAGTAAATTTTGCCAGAGGTGGTTTTTGAACAGGAAAAATAATCATAACTCATATCACTAGGGAAGTATTTATTTTCAAATTTTAAGAAATAAAATTGAAGAAAAACTGCTCCTCGATCCTCCAATGAAAATCAGTGCGCCTGGCCTCTGAGTCATGAGGAAGTGGGTATAAAAGGCTGAGATTACTACAGCAATAAAAGACTCACACTGGGCTAGAGGCCTGGCTTCCATCCCTCTCCTGCACTGACTCTGTGGAGGGGGACCCTGTGCGCTGAAACTGACTCAAGATGGAAAATGAAACCACATGTGCCGTGACCTTTAGGTTTTATGAGTAGACAGTGTTCATTTGATTTTCTACAGAAGTTATATAAATTATTCTTTAGGTTTAAAAAAGAGCACTCATAATGCAATATGTGAATAATCAGTGGGTTTGAGTTTTCTTTTTTCCTATTTCATTGTCAGACTTGTCTAATTGCTAATAACCCTGCCAAGTTACCAAGTTTTATGTATGAATGGGATACTTGATCTGGCCTTAAAGAGACATACAACAATGGGCTGTGGCCCCACAGAGAAGGGAGAGTTGACTTTCACAAAATCTCTTGAGCCCTTTCCAATGTTGTTGGTCTGAACAAGATTACCTGGTTTTCTCTTGGAACACACCTGAAAGTTTTCCCCATAACTGACTTGATATACCTTTATTTCATTCGTTCTGAATCTGTAGTTTTAGTCATGGGCTTTCTTTACCTGCTCCAGGTGTAAAGGCATGTTGGTAAAGGGGTGGATGTTGGGGAGTGTGAGAGGAGTTGGATTTGGGATGGGGATTGGGAGGAAAGATTAGAAGAATAGATACCAAAGTTTAAGGTCCCAGCATGATTGGTAAAAGAAGGGAGTTTGCTGAATCAGCAGAGAGAAAAGAGATTGACCAGCTTGCTGGAAAAATATTTAGCTTTTCCTTTTCCTTTTTTGGGGGGTGGTGGTGGTGGTCATCATGGTGGTAGTGAGCGATGGAGAAGCAAGAATAGGGAGTTGGTAATGAGGTGTGGAAAAGATACAATGTCCTCTTTGACAACAGGCTAATTGCTTGCCATAGAGTCCTTTTTTATTTCAAACAAGCCCATTATAATTTMATTATTTATGAACCCATGGTGGGGGTGACATTACTGTTTTAGCTTTTCATTTGGAGGTGGTATGGCCCAGGCTGGGAGTGAGTGGCCTTGTTCACTTTCTCTAGCCCACCAGTAGCTTTGAATTGCAGTGGGATAGGCATGACAATAGAAGGTGGGGGCTGGGGCTTATCTTTTTTTGTTGTTCAGTTCATTGGTTGCCTTGCTGGGAAATAGGAGACAAACACCAAGTCCCATSACAGTGTTATTTCTTCTTCTGCATGTTGTGTGGTGARTTCCCTCTGCCAGCTTGTGCAGTGATGCTGAGAAAACAGGTGAACAGAAACTGCCCAGGTGCGATAGCATGTGACCTAGGGAGCCTCCTCACTCCTTTCCAGTAGTAGTGGTTCAGGGTGCATCTCTGTTACTAGGTCCCCAGAATACCCCTGTCCCTGGAGTTAGGGACTAACTAKAGCACAAGGTMATATGTGCCAATGCTATTTGTGAAAAGTATCGTCTTTCTAAATTACTAATGGATTTGTTTGGGGTTTTTGCTTAAGTTTTAAACCAAATCTTAGAGCCAGCTGATACTGTTTAATAATCTGGAGGATAGAATAATGGTGTATCAATAAGTGGAGGTTCCTCCTTATGACATATGCTAGATTATGGAAGATGTAAAATATTCAACTTTCTCCCCCTTTTTTTGACTTTGTATTTTACTGCATGTTTTCTTCATTTTTAATCAATAAAGAATAAATTGTCCCTTGTGTTGTATGGATCCTTTACTTCAGTGGCTGTTGGTTGAGAGTTGTGGGGACTAGGTTGTGGAGTTATTACTTCAATTTTTCATGTAATAAACAGATGCCAAAGTGCATATAAGCTATAAAATGTATCTATTGACCTATAGATTATCTAGAATTGCTTAAAACCACGGACAGTTGAGGAAACTGAAACCCCAAAAGGAAAGGATGAGGTCTGCCCAAGGAAATCTGAGAAGCTGGGATATGGAACTTCTTGTATTATGTTTTGATCTTTTCTGAGTCACTGGTTTTTTTTGTTCATGCTTCGGGGCAGTGGAAAGATGCCAGGGTCAAGCCCTTGGAACTCCCTTTCAGGAAGTGTTGAGCAGGACTAAACCTGCCCCTGCTCAGCTTTGATACCAAATGGTTGAGTTCCATGTAAGATTCTAGGCTCCTTTGTATTCGTGTCCTCTAACGACTAGATGAATCTTCCTGATCGTAATCCTTCCCAAGAGAAGTGGCCAAGATTCATGGTAGGCCTTCTTATGGGTCCCAGTATTTCAGAGCAGAAGGCTATGGATTCTGGCATTATAGCCCCATATCACCTGCAGCTGATTTGTTTGCTTTCAAGTGAGTTATAAAAGTGAACTCAGTATTGTTCGTTACAATTCATATTATACATATAGAGCTCAATTTTTCATATCTCTGGTTGTATACACCATTCAAGTCTTCATACAGGTACTTAGGGTATAAAATCATGGCATTTGCAGGTAAATGGATGGAGTTGGAGAATATAATGCTAAGTGAAGTTAGCCAATCCCCAAAAAACCAAATGCCAAATGTTTTCTCTGATATAGGGATGCTGATTTATAATGAGGTTGGAGGTGGGGGACACATGGGAGGATTAGACAAACTCTAGATCAAAGGGGAGAAAGGGGGAAGGGGAGGAGAGGGCATGAGGGTAGGGAAGAGGGTGGATTGAGATGGACATCATTACCCTAATGGGACAGGGAAAAGGTATAAGAAGCTGGGGGAAGAGTAAATTAGACCTCTCCACTTACCCATTCTTTCAAACAGGCTTAGAGCAGCTTACTAGGTTTTACTTCTTGCATGGTTGCTCAGTGCAACAGTTCAAGGTTCCTTCTTTGGGGGTCAGATCATTTACCCCATTTGCTTTTACAATAGACTATATTTTTTAGAACAGTTTTGGTTTCATAGTAAAATTGAATGGAGTCACACTATTCATGTCTTCATACATGTACTTAGGGTAACGATGTCCATCTCATTCCACCCTCTTCCCTACCCCCCTGCCCCCTCCTCCCCTTCTGCTCTATCTGGAGTTGTCTAATCCTCCCATACTCCCCCCCCACCTCCAACCCCATTATGAATCAGTATCCTTATATCAGAGAAAATATTTGGCATTTGGTTTTTTGGGGATTGGCTAACTTCACTTAGCATTATATTCTCCAACTCCATTCATTTACCTGCAAATGTCACGATTTTATACCCTAACTACATGTATAAAGACATGAATGGTGTGACTCTAGTTTGTGTACAGATATGAAAAATTAATCTCTATAATTTATAATACATTCTGCTGTCATATATAACAATAAAAAAAGGCTTGCAATCTAAACTGATATCTTTGACAGCTGAATTAGAAGTAGAATTGGAAAAAAAAATTGAATGGAAAGTATAGAGAGTTTCAAATTACCCTCAGATTTCACATACGAACAGCCTTAGCTGCTATCAACATCCCACACCAGAGTGCTACCTTTGGTACAATTGAGAAACTATATTGACCCATCATTATCACCCAAGGTCAATAGTTTACATTAGGGTTCACTCAATGTAATTTAGTCTGTGGGTTTTGACAAATATGTAATAACATGTAGCCACCATTATAATACACAGAATGATTTCAGAGCCTTCACAGTCCTCTGTGATATTCTTATTCATCTCCCCTTCCCTGGTTCTCCCCTGGAAACTAGTACTGATCCTTTTACTATCCTTGCCTTGCCTTATAGTTAGCATCACACGGTATGCAGCCTTTTTAGATTGGCTCCTTTTACTTAGTAATATGCATCCAAAGTTCCTCCATGTCTTTTCATAGCTTGCTTACTCTTTTTAGCACTGGATTCCATTGTCTGTACCACAATTTATCTACTGAAGGACATCACAGTTGCTTTAAGTTTTAGCAATTGTAAATAAATCTGAAAATATCCATGTGCAGATTTTTATGTAGTCTACAACTCATTTGGGTAAATTACCAAAGAGCAGGACTACAGGATCATATTATAATGGTATGTTTAATTTTTTAAGAAACCACCAAATTGACTGTAATTTTGTGTTCCCATCAGCAATGAGTGAGAGTTCCTGATTCTCCATATCCTTGACAGTATTCAGTGTTATCAGTATTTTAGATTTGACCATAGTAGGTGCAAAGTGGTATATCGTTTTAATTTCTAATTTCATAATGCATAATGTTGTTGAGATCTTTTTGTATGCTCATTTTGCTACCTATATATCTTTAGTGAAGTATGTATTCAGTGAGCTTTTCTCAAATTGTACCTTTTTAAGTACTCTCAGAAAAAAACTAATACAAAAACAGTACAAAGAATATACCTATACCCATCCTCCAGCTTCTCCAAATGTAAACATCTTATATAACAACACACAGTTTTTCAAAATCAGGACATTTACACTGATATGATACCATCTGACTAATCTACAGACCCAATGCTAGTTTTCAGTTACTCCACTACTGCTCTTTTTTCTGGTCCAAGTTTCAGTCCAGGATTCCATATTGTATTTGGCTGTCAGAGATTCTGTCTTCCCATCCATGAATTTTTATTTAGCTCTTTGGTGTCTTTCATTAGAGTTTTGTATTTTTTAATACAGAACTTTTACATATTTTGTAGATTTATGCCCATACATTTCATTTTGTTGGGTGCCAGTGTAGGTGGTTTTGTTAATTTATTTTTGTGGTGCTGGGGAGCAAACCCAGGGCCACATGCATACTGAGCGTGATGTGGTCTACCACTGAGCTTCATCCTTGATGGTATTGTGCTTTTAATTTCAAATTGCATTTTCTCTTTGTTGGTATATCGAAGCAATCAACTTTTGTATATTAATCCTGTATTCTGAAACCTTGTTATAGTCTACTCCTTCCAAGAAGTTT